TCTATCTATCTATCTATCTATCTATCTATCTATCTATCTATCTATCTATCTATCTATCTATCTATCTATCTATCTATCTATCTATCTAAATTTACTCACATCTTTTTCTGCAGTTTCTTTTTACGTCTCTAAGTGCCGCTGTTGGTTAGTTTGAGCAAAATAAGTCGTTTCTGTCGAGTGCGGTCTTCTCCTCCCTTGTCTGTCTGATGTGTTTTTAGAGCTCTATTTTAATCGGAACTACTCTGACAAAGCCAGACACGGAGCATTCAGCAACAAACTGTCGAATATTTGGTAGGATTTAGACACCGCAGCTGGGTTTTTTCCATTTAGGATATTTCGACGACTCTCGCCGTTATGGGCGTTCTTTGTTTTGTGGCCGATAAGAAAATATTTTCATGGTGGCCGCTGCTTCTCTGCATCTGTGTCGCAGGAATGGCTGTCGGTCAGGTCCGTTATTCTATACCTGAGGAGATGACAACGGGCTCGGTTGTCGGGAGCATCATTCAGGATTTAGGCTTGGATATTAAGCGACTGAAATCTGGGCGGGCTCGGATATTTACCGAGGATGGCAGTGAGTACATCGGTCTGAATGCAGATAAAGGGACTTTGGTCGTGGCTAAAAGGATAGACAGAGAAGAATTGTGCAAGCAAGTGTCTCCCTGCTCTCTTCATTTCCAAATAATTCTAGAAAATCCAATGGAGCTGCACAGAATTGATGTAGAAATTACAGATATTAACGACAACGCTCCGTTTTTTTCCAAGAAGGAATATAATTTTCAGGTTAGTGAATCTGCCTCACCAGGGGCTCGTTATTCGCTTGAGAGTGCCAAAGATCCTGATGTGGCGCATAACACAATTCAAACATACAAACTCAACCCTACAGATAATTTCAAATTGAATGTTGTATCTCGGTCTGATGGAACAAAATACATTGAAATGGTTCTCCACACCTCACTTGACAGAGAAAACCAAGAAGAGCATAAATTAACTTTGACAGCATTTGATGGTGGTGATCCTCAGAAATCTGGTTCTGTTAAAATTAATGTAATTGTTCTAGATGCAAATGATAACGCGCCAGTGTTTAGTCAGTCTGTTTACAGGGTGGCAGTTCCTGAAAACGCATTGAAGGGCACTGTTATATTAACAGTCAGTGCCACTGATAATGACAAGGGAGGAAACGAGGAGGTAGTGTATTCGTTCTCTCACCACACTGATGGTGCATCATCCCTGTTTAACATGGATCCAAAAACTGGGGAAATTACTGTAAATGGTGTTTTAGATTATGAAAAGATCAAACACTATGAAATAGACATTGAAGCCACAGACAAAGGGGGACTAACAGACACAAGTAAGATTCTAATTGAGGTGTCCGACCTAAATGATAATGCTCCTGTGATAAGCATAATTTCCCTCTCCAATCCCATACCAGAGGATTCAGCTGTAAATACTGTCATAGCAATGCTCAATGTCAAAGATTTGGACTCTGGTAAAAATAGCCAGGTTCGGTGTTTTATAAGCCCAGATTTACCTTTCAAAATCAAATCATCAACTGCTAATTTTTATAGCCTCATATCTGATGATGTTTTGGACCGGGAAACTGTACCAGAATATAACATAACAATAACAGCTATGGATGAGGGTTCCCCTCCTTATTCCACAAACAAGACTATTAATTTGAGAATAGCGGACGTGAATGACCATGCCCCAGTGTTCACACAAAATGTCTTGACAGCCTTCATCACTGAAAATAATTCACCTGGCATGTCAGTCCTCTCTGTCAAAGCCAGTGACAGGGACTTTGGGAGCAATGCACGCATCTCCTATTTTCTTGAAGATCGCCAACTGAATGGAATGTCAGCCTCAGCTTATTTTTCAGTGAATGCAGAGAGTGGAGAGATACTTGCTGTGCGTTCCTTTGACTATGAGCAAACAAAAGATTTCCATATTCAAGTCAAGGCGCAGGATGGAGGCTCTCCTCCACTCAGCAGCAATGTGACAGTGAAAATGATGATCCAGGACCAGAACGACAACCCTCCTCAGGTTCTGTATCCAGTCCAGACGGGTGGCTCTGTGGTGGCTGAAATGGTGCCTCGTTCAGCAGATGTGGGCTATCTGGTGACCAAAGTGGTGGCTGTTGATGTGGACTCTGGACAGAATGCGTGGCTGTCCTATAAACTACAGAAAGCCACAGACAGGGCTCTGTTTGAAGTGGGCTCCCAGAATGGAGAGATCCGAACCATCCGCCAAGTGAATGATAAAGATGCAGTGAAACAGAGACTGAGTGTTATAGTGGAGGACAACGGGCAGCCCTCTCGTTCAGCTACAGTGATTGTGAACGTGGCGGTGGCGGACAGCTTCCCTGAAGTTCTGTCGGAGTTCAGTGAGTTTCCACACGACAAGGAGTACAATGACAACCTGACTTTTTACCTCGTGCTGGCTCTGGCTGTGGTTTCCTTCCTGTTCATCACGTGTTTGGTGGTTATCATCTCAGTGAAAATCTACAGATGGAGACACGAGCGCTTGTTTTACAAATCCAGTGGGAATCTCCCTGTTATTCCATATTACCCACCCCTTTATGCAGATGTAGGAGGAACTGGTACCTTGAAGCAAGGGTTCAGTTATGAAGTGTACGGAACGACTGACTCTCGGAGGAGTGATATGAAGTGTTCCCAACCCTTCAGTCAAAGCACTCTGAGTGTTGACCATACTGCTACCAGGACAATGCCAAGGCATAAAACAGAGTCAGAAAATATGCTTACAGAGGTGAGAGCAGCCACTTCTTTGATGCCTCGAAACCGTTGTTCCTTTTATTCATGTATTTACTTACCTTTAGTCATTATTTGGATATTTCTGATACTCTATCTTTTGTAGGTACTCACTGAGGTCTCGGCACTCTCAGACTTTGTGCCAAAAGTTGTTAACAGGTATAATCAGTAAACACTGTGTCATAGAGTAGGGTAGTAGGAAATTTTGCATTTGATGCTATATTAAAGTTATCATCCATTTTTCTGTTAGGCACCTTCATGCCCCTGACCTCTCCAATTTTGTCAAAAGAATATCATGAAAATATTTTTCAAACCCTGTTCTTTAATTTTTTTTACATCTAAAAATGCATCTCTTCATTTTCATTATACTTGCTGCACATTCTCTAACACCACTGCTGACTCTCTAGCAGGCTTTGCACTGAGGCTATATCTGTACCTGGGTGGTTTTATGTGTTTTTTGTAAGCTAAACAGTTTCACATATCTATCCCTTTTGCTATGTGGCTCTACATTCACCCTACTGTATTTTTCACTTTAATATTATTTCTCTCCCCATCAGCTTAATTTAATAACTTGTCATAGTTTCGGCAATTGTATGTAGCATCTTTCTTTGAAACTGGATGCTATGTGGAGATAAATCAAGTAAAAATATGCTTCCTATGTTTAGACCTCTTTCTAATTTGACAGACTGAATTCAGAGGTGAGGGAGAAAAATAGACTTCAGCTACAAGGAAGTCTGAGCTTTATCCCTGCTGAAGCATTGCTACAGATTGCTCTCACAGAGAAATACACAGCCACACAGTGCACTACTTTTGCAGTGACCTAGTTCCCGTCACGACACGATGCAACCGTGGGCATCAGGCTGCACATACACAGGAAAGGGGTGAAGGTGGAACTGATTTGATTATGACAAAGTTTTTTAATGCAAATCAATAAATAAAATGCAATGGGTGACCTATTTTTGATCAGTGGTTGAAAATTCAGTCGAGGGGAAGCGGGAATGCTGATCACGGAGAGATTGAGAACGAGGGAGCAAAACTGTGATGGAGAGGAAGAGAGAGGCAGCGGGGGAGGGGAAGAGGCACGTGGTAACCGGCACAGTCTCACTATCCCTGTGCAGCATTTGTGTTACTGATGCACAGCAGCCATTTTGATCTGCAGCCCTCTTTGTCTGTTGAAACAGGTTGAAAATATGAGAGTTTTCAGTGTGATTAGGTGGCATTAGGTTACATTTATCAACGGCGCTGTGAAGGACACAGACAGACTGAAATATATTGTGATGAAATATGAAGAAATGGAAGAAAAGTGACAACAATACAGGCAGAAAGAGAGTAGTTATATAACAAATGACAAGGGGATGTCAGTAATCAGGATAGAGGCTAAATGCATTGGAACAATGTAATTACACCAGATAACTGACCTACATTGTGCTGAAATCTAGCTGTTTATGGAGTCTCTCAAGTAATGATTTGAATCTGCATCGTATAAACTGCTAATAAGAGTTACACAGTAAAAGACTAGATTTATTTCTTCCTTTTTGTCTCTCAACCATCATGTTTTAATATTGTTTTTGCTGAATATGAAAGCCTTGTGTCATCTTTTAAAGTAATGGTGCATCCGATTTGGCACAAATGACCCTGTTATTATAATGATGCCTGTGGTGAGGAAAATAAACCCATGTGTGTAAAATATTTATTCTTTTAAAGTTGGTGAAAAGGACATTTTCCTCTAGATGTATGTCACATGAAGCTTTAGTGAAACACATTGCTGTTTGAGTGATGACAAAGTATTGGTATTATATGGCTAAGAGTAGGCCTGTTATGTTTGCTGACCTTTGTTCTGTTTCTGAAGAAGCCTTGGATCAGCTGTTGTGCATGGTCTGGTTGCTCTGAGTGGTGCTTGTGTTCTTAGTAGGTAGCTTCTATGTGATGGTTGGGGTGTATGTGTGAGTAAATTGAAGCTGACAAACTACAAAGCAGAAACCGAGGTTAACTGTCTTAACCCTCATATCCGCTGGCAGCAGTCTGCCATAATTATCTGCCCGCATCTGTGTCTGCTTTACCTGTTTCAACTGTGTGTGAATCATTATGTCTCATTTTCTAAGGTTTATAGTGGTGATTGTTTTTAACTGAGTACCGTAAATTCTTTTCACCACAGTGTCTCCATGGGGGTCAAAGATCACAGAAAGTTTCTGCAACCAGCTAAACAGTTCAGCCTGTATTATATCCTGTACCGGATCACTGGGTTGTTTTGTTTTTCTCTTGTTTGAGAAACCTACCTTGAAGCTGTCATCATCCATTTTGAATCCTACACAAACCACCAGTCGTTAATTTACCAAACTTGTTACTGACCACAAAACTATAATCGCATGCAGAAGCTCCTGCTTCCCACAGGTTTAAGCTGTGTTTTAAGTGTCCGGCCTTTCTAGCGGAGCGATCTGGTGAGCAGCTGTGTGCCTATGTTTATGCCGGTGGGGCTCAGCAACACATTGTGCACTGTGTTTGGGGATGTGGTTAACGTTTATGGTCTGTAGTCTCTCACTGTATTTTTGTCAACAAGGTATTCCAGATATCTGAGATACTGAGGATCTTTGAGTGGGGCTTCATTCCCATGGAGCATATATGTATGCTTTAATTCATTAAGCATGATAATAACATAATAAAAATGTATGCACAGGCCCACTGCATAATACTCTCCCAACCTGGTAATTGCTGGTGCCTGCCCTTCTGGGATTGTTTTCTTGTTGCTCATACAAAGATGCACATTTGAACTTCTAAAAGTTATGACCAAGTAGTAGATAGTATCCCTAAACATGAGCTTCAGGCTGTTAAGCAAAGATCCTTCCTGCTTCTGTAGCACTTGACTACTACTAATAGTACAAAGCTATTTTAGGTTTATTTTGTGCCTCGGTTACATTAGGTTGATGTCAGGACAAAAACTAATTTGCCCACTGTACATATATAACCTAAATAATGTTATTTGCTTTTATTTGAATTCCATCGGGTAAACCAGATGCTTGCTTAAAACACACAAAAGTTGTCTGTCAGTGTGAGTTGGTGTGCCAGAGGTGGAAGTGTTACGTTGGGATGGATTATGGATTATTTGCAACATGTAAGGCATGATTGTATGTCTGTGTCTGAGTCCCCTAATATGCCAAACCTTGTAAAGTTCCCACCAATAATATTTTTAAAAACATGTTCCATAAAAGCAACAGAGCCTTGCTGTTGAAATGACTTTGAATTATACAACTGGTACAACTTCCATATAATTATCATGGATTGTGTTGATATTATTATTTCTGCATCCAGACTGAGAAATCACATAAATATTTGTGTTGATAATTGGCATTTACTCCATTGCTGTAGTTAACAAAGTGTCAGATTGAAGCTAAGACAGACTGACCACTGTTCAGCAGCCATTCTCGGTTTCCAGCAGTCTCCCTTTTTCCTCCTGATCTCATTCTCTGCATCCCTCCCCTCCCCCTCTCCAGCTGCACCACTCTGCTGCAGAGGAAGAAAGACACAGAGAGAAAGGGAGAGGAAGATAGCTCAATGTAGGACATTTTGTCCTGTTTATAGAAAGACATTATTATTATCATTTTATCCCTGTGTAGTTCACCATGTTCATGACAAGAAAAAAATCTTATTTGTGCTGATTTTCAGCCATTTGTCAAGACATTCTGTGTTGCCCTGCAGTTTATAAATGTGTGCTCTGAACACATTGTCAATGTACATATATATGTAAGTGTGTGAGCATAATTTCTCGTGTTTTCTTCTGTCATCTTCTTTAACCTCCATGTTGTTTTTGTAGCTCCTTTCTTTGCCATCCTTGCCAGCTCCCAGGAAGCAGGGTAGGATGCAAGCAAGGGAGGTGGGATGTGTTACCATAGCAACAAGCTGACTCACAGGCAGGATTGTACCATTTTATATCGAGCTACAGGGGGTCAGCAGCAGATACAGCCTGTGCTGTGTGCTGGCTTCATGTATTTATTGATACTGGGAAGAGAAACCCCCCTGTTTTGGGCAAGTAGGTGCAGCATTCTCAGACCTGGGGTGGCTGATGATGGAGAGAGAGGAGGGGGAGATAATGATCATTGCTGGCTGTGATATTTGTTGTTATATTTACTGGCATATTTGCTTTCCCTTCCACTGCTTTAGCAAACTCCTGTCCATGATGAGTGTAGGGACAAATACCCAGTTTCTTATTAAATTCGTTATTTCTGTTATGTGAAAAGAACATCAATCTGTTAGTGTCTGTTTATTGTTTCATTGTTGTCCTGGGTGACCTGTTTGTATAAGCAATACTGTAATTACGTTATTACCTAAAATTGCAAAAAGGGTAGGGTGATATTATGTGTAGGTTCTTTCCTACAAAAGTGTGCCAGTCTAGTAAGCAAAAGCATTTGTTGCTTTGTTTTGTCTCAAAATCCTAAATTTGCTCTTACAAAGAGACTAGACACACACCAGCTGTGACAAACATGAGGCCACAGTGCAAAGAATCTCATTAATAAGGCATGGATTTGTCTCAGGGCATCGCCTCGAGGCCCCCTGCTGTTGCTTTAGGGGTAGTGGTTTTGTGCAGCAGTGCAGTACTTGTGATTTATACATTGACGGTATCATCAGTGTTTCATTTAATTTATTTTTCCCTTCAACAATTATCAGATTAGTGTTGTGGTTTCAGTTGACATGATTGTAATGTACCAAAGGTTGTTTGTGCTTCTGTTTGAAAAAGAGAGATGATTGTTGTAACCATTTTTTATTGTATGACATTATTTACATCACCATATGCTATTTACTGACTGAGTCATGATTGATATAATTTTAGCAGCCACAGTGGCCTGTAACACTGGACTGTGTAGTGTCATTATCACCATCGCTTTCGTAAGCATTATTGTCTGTGTCCTTTTCAACACTGTTATCTTGTTTTGATTTTCAGAATCTTCTTTTAAGAAAAATATTGACTGTTCATCATTATCATCATCACAAGGACAGTAAAGCTAAAACAAAGTGTCTGTGTAAAATATATTTTTCTTCACATATTTGGAAATTACACAAAGTAATGTGAAAATTGCTATAACTTTAAAATTGAAACAGCATAAATTATATAGACGATGTGCAGTATAGAATGTGTGTGTGTGTGTTTGTGTGTGTGTGTGTGTGTGCGTGTGTGTGCATGTACTGTATCTGGGTCATTCACTGTCACTCAGACTGTGGAATACATGTTTGGCAAGAAAATATGCTCTGCCTTCTTCTCCTATGAATATGTTATATTTCATTCTGAGAGCCCATTAAGCTCTTTTAAATGTGAAACCACAGAGTTGAATTTGTTAAAGTAAATGTTTCTTACTTTCTTGATTTTCAATTTTTTAAAATTTATTTATTTGTTACATTTTTGAAAGAAATGTAGTTTTGTCTCAACCTCACCTGTCATACAGTGAACACATTTTTTTCCCTTTCTTTTTTCTGGCTGCCGTGATTTTTTTGTGTTCATGTTTTTTCGATTGACCGAGCCTGTGCTTGGTTCAGATCTGTCTTTACTGTCTGTCTTGTAGAGATATAGC